ACAATTCCCTGTAAGCACCAAAAATACAAAAAAAATCAAAACTGGCCTCTGGCCCTGCTAGCATTGCAGTTCAGACTGTTTTGAATTGTGACTTTTCATATTGGAAACATTATTTCCTTTTTGCTCCAGAGAGTAAATGAAGTGTTATATTAAATAGTGTTAAGCAATGTCTGTGGGTTATTAAAAAAAAAGAAAAAAAAAAAAAAAAGAATGGAAGAAATTTTGCCCGTAGTTTGCTTTGTTTCACCAAGATAGAAAAAAAAGTGAAACAATTGGTTATGTACAGTGATCCTTACCTACCAAAGGCACAAAACTCTTCAACGAAACGTCTGCTGTATTTGCAAAGCAGTGAATAAAAGGCAAAAAATGTCATTCATAATTTATATTTTGCTGTTTACAACAGATGGGATGAGAGAAATGAGATGAATGTTTAGTATTTAAAATTAACATTAGTCTTAAATAAGGTGCTTATTTTTGTGAGTCAGTGTACTTATATTCATATCAAATATATAACCTGCTGGTGCCAATCAACACACATTTTGATATTCGTTTATCTTGTCTGATATATGACTGCAACAAATTTCTTATTAACCTTAATATGTTCTTGATTTCAACACTCCATTAACAAATTCTGTTATAATCAAGACTTCTCCTTTCGAAACATTTGTTATTATCCAATTAGTAACATATTTACAGGAACTGAAAATAGCACATCTAAAACAGAGATGTATTAAAGATTTCAGGGCTGTTTAATTAGATTTTTTTTCTTAGGAAATACCTCTTAATAGACTTGCTTTACTTAAAGTTTAGTGTGTGTGGTGGATCACATGCTTGTGGCCATGGTATCCTTTCCCAGAAGTGGAATCCAGTCAAGTGGCCTTAATTTTGATGCTTGTGAGCAGCAGTTTCAAGATCACTTGGCAAACCTGAAACTTGTAGTGAGTAATGAGAGTGAATGTCCTTTATGAGCTGAAAGCCTGGCTGCATTCATAAAGCAGCATTTGCCTTCCCATTGGCAGTGCTATATTCCTTTATAACTTGAAGGGATTTTGATTTGCTACTCACTTTTTCAACCCTTCACCAATATTCTGTGTATGCAGGTGATATAGGCAACCTGACCTCTGGATATTTACTGAATAAAATCCACCTACACACAGTCTGAAGTTAGGGTGAAACACCAATAAATACTGGGAATTTTAATTTTAAAACTCCCTGTTAGACAATATGAACAGATCACTGAAAAAATTACTTAGCATCAACAGCAAGGTCCTCTATGAAAATCCCTGCAGAGCTTGTTTTTGTTTCATAGTGGCAATGTTTCTCTTTTATCCTCCTTGTTGCTGTGATCAACAGAGGGCAGTTAGGCTCCTTTCTATTTTCAGTTTCAATTCAAATTTCAAAATTGTTTTTGACTGAACTTTTGAACACACTGAAATGTGAAAGCGCCCCCGCTGTCACTAAAATGGTCTGGAACGTGCTTTCTGGGCATGAACATTTCAAAGAGAAGATGCTGGTTACAAGCAGCTCCACCTCCACTCTCTTCTCCAACATGCTTGTTAAAGTCTCAGGAAGGCCCATTACTTTTTTTTTTGTTTCTCCTAGGTAAAGTCCAAACAAAGTGCTTTGATTTAACATCACTGATTAAAAACAAAACAAAACACAAACAAACAAAACAAAAACCCCAAACAAGCCCAAACATTCAAGCAGTCAGCAATTTAGGTACAAGCTACTGAATGAAGCACAAATAGCTGTCCCAAGAAGCTGTGGTAGGACAGGGCTTCAAAGGGAGAAAGCTCAACTGTCCAGCTGGAAGGAAGTGTTTATTGAGGATGCTATGAAACACATGTAATGCAAATTTAAGCGCCTTCCCAACAGCTTTGTGTTGGGAAAAGATAGATAGAGTCCTTGGGAATTCAGCTTGTCTCCCAAATTAAGCAGAGTTGTTTTTCTTACAGGGAAGATTTTGGACCTGTGATTTAGTGCAGCTGGGGATATAACATGTGGCCTTCATCGTGCTGATTTAGGTCTTTCTTAAGTCTCTTCAATAGAAGGCAGTATATGGGCATGTATACATAATATTGCTTGTGAATACCAACATCTGATTGGTACTTTTCAATTTTATTGTGTAAGTGCTTTTGTGGGTTTGTGTATAAATGCCTTCATAAAATGCTATGGATGTAAAAAAGAAATGAAGGAGCAACCACCCAGGGTTATGACATCACCTTATGAGTGTTAGTCACAGACTAAGAGCACCCTTACATTATGGTGGCAAGAAGAAAAATCTTTGGGTCTATGATTTTCATAAAAGAAAAATCTTTTATGAAAATCATAAAATTCCACCATGTAATAATGCTTCTTATCTAAATATAGATGATTACAGATCAGCACACAATGTCTCTTGTTGATTTGGGAGACTCAATATGCATAATATTAGAACAAACTTCAGAAAACTGGGATTAAAAATAGTGGGGAAAGGCAGACTGAAACTAGTTAAAAACAGAAAAACTGTTGTAAAATGGGAATTGCTAAAATGAAGTGAACAGAATTTAACACATTTTCAAAGCATTAAAATCAGGAGATTGAATCAACTTCCTGAAGATGTCTAATACCCTGCAGTTCCTATTAGAGTAAATATCCTGCAGTTCCTATCAAACTATGATTTTAGCACATCTGAAGGTTGTTATTAAATTAAGTAATTAATATAAAACTAAGATTTTCATAGTGACAGAAAATAATTGGGTAAGCAGTGAGGCAGTTGTTACAACTGATGGAATAAAGTGATGAAGAGCTCTTCTTAACAGGCTGACTGCTAATGACCACAACCAGAAGGCAGCTGAAACCCTCCAAGAGCGAGAAAGGAAACCATGTTCTCTCATTTATTCTCCTGAAGGAGAAGAAAACTATCTTTAGCCAGATTAAAAAAAAAAAAAAAAGAACATTAGATCAGACAAATATCTTGAATCCATCTTTTTTTTTTCTCTTGTGTGGTTATAATAATTTTATGCAGGTATGAGATAGATACCTCTGTACTGTTCCATTTGCACAGTGCTGGTGATAGAAGCACTTCAGTGTCATCTTACAGAGGATGGGGCAATGCTCATAATGTAGATGAATGGTGCCTTAGGGAAAGCAGGGGTAGTGAAAGGCTTGACAAACCTAGAAAAGCTCAGGCAGTTGTGAGGTAGGAGTGAGGTACTAACTGACAAATTTGACCCAGAGATTCCAGAAACTTCTCTTGATGACAGGAATCTGAGAGTCATTCCTATATTGTTGGTTTTGCCATGTTTCCAAAGGGAACCAAAAAGAAAGCACTTCAGTGACAGTGAAATGTAGTGGGTATTTCCCTTTTGGCAACCAGGGTGCCAAAGGGTTGTTTTGGTTGGGGTTTGGTTTTGCTTTTTCTGCAAGTGATCCAGCTTCAGAGCGCCAGACATTAAAACACCACCAAGTGTGTGTGGCTGGGAAACAATACACCACTTCTCATTGCAGGCAGACAGAGAGACAGGGACAGATCTACAGAATTAAAAGCTGAACCTGCAGTGCCAGCAATAAAGTGCAAAAATTCCCTATTCTGCCAAATGCATGGACAGTCACATAAATGCAATTGCTGCAGGATTTAAAAAATACATTCTATGAAATATGTATCATGCAGATCAATTACCCAGGAAGCAAAAAAACTAGGCTTTTGTAGCTCATTTAGCTGTAGTACACAAATGAGAATATTTACACTCATTCTAAAAGCAAGAAGAAAATAATATTCAAGAACTAGTAAAAAGATTCAAGGAACACAGTGCAGAGGACATTAACACTAATTTCAAATGTATTATTTTGGATTCAGTAAACTAACAGTGTGTGCAGAGAGCTGTTAGTTGTTTTGTTTAAGAAATTATACTTTATTAGTGAGATGATTCTCCTGATGGCATCTTATTTAATGTACATACTCAGAACATAACTGTTCTGAGTGACTTTATTCAGGTTATCATTCTCTTGGATTTAAAAGTGAAAGCCATTATTTCATTGTAATCTTTTTCTACAGATTTTGCTTTGCAAAATGTGCTTTTCCACTCTTATAACTCTAAAGGCCTCAGTGTCCTTAGATAAAGCACTAGCTATTATTTACAGAGGTCTTTTTCTTCTAAATTTATTCCAACAGAAAATTCTACATTCCCGTGCCTTACACCAAGTGTTTTGAAAATATTTAAAAGACTTCTAAAAACAAATGGTCAGTCCATTACTAGGACTCTGAGGGAAGCTTGTAGGGGAGATAGATAGTAGAATGTACCCCATGGTGTGCACAGGTTGTAATTTAGTTCAGCCCTGTGCAAGCATTTCTTTTTTTGTCGACCACAGGGCTGGAAAATACTACCTGCATCTTACCCCCTGACTGTTGTTGCCATGACATAAACACATAATCTAGAAGGGTACATAAAAACATTCAGCCAGCTTGTCTTTGCTCAGCAGAAGTTACAAATATTTCCTAATGGACCTAAGCTATGTGCCTTTGTTTGCATGGATATAATGAATCCCTCCTAGCCTGGATGTTTGCTTTGATATTTCAGGAAGTGTGTTGAATTAAAAAATAATGTAAAGTAAAAAAAGAAGTGCCTTTCATTGTATGAAGAGCTGCCTGTCTTTCCAGTTCTCAGACACCAAAAACAAATTCAGAAATCTTTCCTTCAGATTAAGAATGCAGCAATTCCTCAGAGAAGCTTCAAATCTAGTCATTTGATTTGTAGTGTCTGCATATTAGGAAAACTTGACAGCCTTAATTCAATAATTCTCTTTGAGAACAGTGCCTAATGAACAGAATTGCCAATCTAAACACAGAAATATAAGCCAAAATGGTTAATTTAAATTTAACCAGTGTCAAAAGAAAAAAAATCTCAAGAGCAAAATATGGCTGAATTTTACAGTTCTTACCACAGCTCTGGTTTTGCTGTAAGTCTGAAGTTCTCATTCAGTGCTGACTGGAGTCTGGACTGAGACCAAAGGCACCTGCCCACAAATGGTTCCTGTTCAATGACAGAGCTGACACGGTTTAATGCCATTGATATTGCACCATACCTTCTTTCAGGACAAATAAATCAAAAAACCTCTCGAGTTTCCTTTGATTTGCCACTTATTACGACTTAGAATCCCACAAGAGCTGCTACTGCTATTATGTTTTATCCTAGCTAATAATTTAAATAATTTTTAAAATATTTTACTAAACATGCTAATTGGGCTGGTTTCTGATTTGCAGTGTCACATCTGGTTCAGAGTTCAATACAGTTCACAATTAGAGAGCAGCTTCCCTGCTTGCACCGAGTGCTTTGGTCACATGTGAGGTTTTTTTAACTAATGAGCTGTCAACAAGCTGTCAAACGCTGATACAAATTGGGAGACAGTGAAGGGTTGGTATAAAGCACTGGAATCAGCCTTGTAAACGTACTCTTTCTCACAGCTCACACAGATGTGATTTTACCTTCCTCAGGGAGTAGCTCTGCTGCAGTCAGCCCTGTCAGTCCTCCAGGTAGGACCTACTTCCATGATTAGCATTTCCAGGGATTTGGCCCAGTATGACAGCAGAAATACATTGTTTTTCTCTGTTGTCATCCTCCATATTTGTAATATTTTTATATTTATTTAGTCATATTTTTATCCAGAGTATTTGTGCTTCTGATACAGGAGGGTTGGGATGATAACATGAGGGTAGCTACTCCCCAGCAGCCTTTACATGGTGCTTCATCAAGGCTCTTGCTTCAAAAAAGTTCTTTGAAACAGATAAACTGGTGTCAGTACCAACATCAATATTTACCAGTAAGAGATTAGATCGAGTGACAAAAGCTATAGTAGGTTTTTCTGAGAAGCATCTGAGCTCCCTTGTGCAGCCATCCAGGCTCCACAGTGCATGTCAAGCTCTTACTAGAGACCTGATACTCCTAACTACATTGACAGCCAGCAAGCAAATAAAGCAGACCTGGATCCTCATGGACTACTGACTCAATAACAGGACAATATTAACTTCTGTGAATGCTAAAGACACTGAGAGTTGTGATTTATCTTTCCTCCAGGGCTGCAACAGCCCGGATGCTGAGAAATTCAGTGTTTATGTGACATAACCGCATACCACCTTGATCTTGTCCTGCACACAAGTTTTGGAGCAAATGATTTTCTACTTCTGTCACTGAGAGCAGAAAGTACCTTCTCCCATCTGTTTGTACTGATTCAAACACTTAGTTTGGACATTTTTTCTTGGAGGTAAAAATCCAAGTAGCCTGTGCAATAGTTCCTACCTGAAGTAATTGGGTATTATTGGAAGGGCTGTTGCAAAGTATTTTAATAATGTGCACTTGAGAGTAACATAAAGCTACTGTACAACTGCCCTCCTTTTACAGTACCATGTAGATATATGTTTATGTATTTTTTCATTTGCATAAGCTGCAATGTTAGAGGAATGAACTGCATTACCACATTTCATTTAGCTTTCTAATGAGCAGCTGTGACCTTTATCACAAACCATCTTCCCACCACCGAGCTCCATGTTAATAAAGAGCCAATGTGAATTTGAAAAAGGATACAATTTTCCAGAGGTGGTTAAATAGCATGTTCTAGCACTCACTGGCTGATCTCCACAGGATAATTAATTCACCGATGAGAAATGTGTCTGCAGTTCATTTTTGGTGGACTGGGATTAAAAAAATGTACTACAACTAACCTTCAAGTCAGTCAGCTTTGCAGAATGATTCACAGCGGAGAAAACTTTGTTCTAACTAGCTAACAATATTCCCAGTATGTGATCAGGCATTTTAATCAGTGTCTTATTTCAAATCGCTTTGTCACACTCTACCAATGACGCATTACAAATGTGCAGGACCGACCCACTGGACTGAAACAATGTCAGTCCTTTGCATCTAGCAGAGGGTATAAAAACATCAAACATTTGCTCACTAACGTCCTATGGTACAGTTTGAAGAAGGGTATGTTCATGCACATGCAGTAGATTTAAGCACTAATATTGCAGCGACATGGTAGCAACTACAGGATGGTAGTTTCATTTTATAAAAGCTTCTGCTACTAAAAGATGAGCTGTCAGTGGAACAAACATGTCACCAGACGTTGCAGTTGGTGCTTTATTCACAAGTGACAGAACAATAAGCCTGCCATACAGGCTTTGCCCAGTGAGCATTTTTCTCCACCTTACACACTATGGCAAAAACAACACCTCAGTGAGGTTATGTTTTTGACACATTTTATAAATACCTGTATCATCTCCATGTGCTGGAGGGCTCATTTATTGTATTTTCATGCAGTCTACAGTTGAGTTACTTTAGAAACTTCTTGCTTTTAGCTATTTTAACCTCATCTTGACACAACAGAAAATGATGGAGTAATTCAATGTATTTGTTCTTGTACAGATTGAACATTTCCCATTGGTATGCACTTGCCATATATAGCAAGTTCAAGGGAAATAGCTTATAAGCTTCCTGAAAGGTGGCAGAGTAATGGGAAGGAACTGAACTCCAGATAATGCAATATTAAAAAATGAATTATCTAATGTGGAGCAGCACCACGTGACCAAAGAATAGTAACTGTATCATTTTTATGTCAAAAAAAACCCCTCCTCAAAAACCAACAAAAATATGAGACACTGAGTCTGCTATTTAGACTTCAGTATCATGTGAAGCTTTTAAATATATTTTGAAAGAAATAATTATGGAAGACATGGAAGCAAAATAAAATAAAAAGTCTAAAAAGATAAATTATAATTCTAAATTAATAAAAAATTTCATTTTCTAAACCTCCATTAATAGTACATCTTATTTGTCTTCAACAAAATAGCTGATGTGATATTGTGTGAAAAATCATTAGCAAAGATATAAGCTGTGTAAGAAGAGGTCTCAAGGGGAAGACACAACAGGTAGCATGATAATATATTGTAAGAAAGTTACAGAAGCCCCTCTTATACTCCTAACTGCCCTCCACAAAGCCAGGTGAATTTGTTGGTATAATTTGTGAGGACCCCACTTGAAAGTCACTGGCAAAAAGAAAAATAGACACTGGAAATCTCATAAAAGCTGCTAAGGGCTACAGGCCCTCCATAGAAAGAAACTGGACCACAGAGAATGAGTTTATGTTCCAGCTGGCCAGCATGATGAGGAAATGGCTGTGAGAAGCTGCTATGAAGAAGCAGAAGTTGTCTATATGGAAGATTTCTAGCAAAGAAACACAATGTCATTGTCATTCTTTAGGGCATCTGCTAGAGATAATGTGGAATGTTGCTTACATCCCTGCTTCCCCCATTCAAGAAACGTGAACTCATTATGTCAAAGGAGCAAACATGTCCAGGAGAACAGCCACTATATTTTTTGAGAGATTTGAGAAAGTGGGTTTCATTCTAACTGAAAGAAAACTGAGAGAAAGTGATTGCACTCTATAAATTTACAGTGAGGGTAAACACTAGGGATGAGCTGTTTAAAAGGCAATGTTGGCATAAGAACAAAGGAGTATAAGGTAGCCATGAATAATTTTAAGATGGAAATTAAAGAAAGGCTTGTAACCATGAGAAACTGAAGTTCTCAACTGACCTCTCAGTCTGGCTAGGAGTAATAATAACTTGTTTTAAGATGGTGTTCAAAGTGTTTATGAAAAGAGCTATGCAATATGGAGGAAAGTCACCCAGGAAACTTCTTTTGTCCAACATTTCTATACCTTAGGGGTCATATGTGTGGAAAAGAAAAGCTTTTTTTTTGGTCACAATCTATAAAACACTGGTTAAAATAATAGCAGGGGAAGAGTTACTGAGTTGATACTATAACAACTTCTGAGCTGCTATTTGAACAATGAATGTCCTAAATAAGCTATTAAGTAAAAAAGATGAATGGAATTGCAGAGTACTAGTTTCTAGAAAAATCTCCTCTGTCTGTTGCTATGTGTTCATTAGAACACACAGCAAGAAAACATGACTTGCTCAAAGTGTCAGTGCAGCTGCATATGTTATTTTAGATTTACCAGGAATATGTGTCTATGTAAAAATGATTTTACACTGTAGAAAAAAGAAGCAGCAGCCCTTACAACAACCTTATTCTTAGCTCTCAGTTTGTGTACCTTTACTGCATGGAAAGAAATACAACAGTTTAATTAAATTTCTTAAGGTCAGTGAAATGCCATTGTTTTGACAATCAGCTGGGCTCACATAAACCTTGGGGTCCAGATGGCTGGCTGTTTAATGGCAACACTGCATTGACAAATTCACCAATTAGATAGACATTAATATTGCATCCTTTCAGATTCTGAGCGCAGCCTGACCTCGCTGAAGTGGGCTGGTGTCTTGCTTAATCCCTCGTGCATGCTCGCAGAATGTTATCGTGCTGCTATAGTGGGTTCATCCATCAAAACTGCCCTGGCTTCTCAGCATGCTGAGCGTTATTGGGTTTGTAAAAACAGATGTCATAACACACTGCTGGCAGAGTGGTGCTCTCTCTCGAGACAGCAAAAGAAACCATCCCCTCCACACACACACTCATGGACACACATGCTGGGGGCACTGGTGTATTGTGTGAATTCTCCCCTGGCTGCTCCAGGCCTGAAAGGGAACACCCCTAATTTATGGATGTTCAGAAGCCTGTATGCCTTTGTGCAGATAATTGTCCTTCTTGATAGACATGCTGTACTCCTTACATCAAATTTGCTCTTTTTTCTTTAATGGCTCCAAATATACCATGTTGGGGATACAGAATTACAACCTGCATAAAACTGTAGTGGTGTTGTCTCGCTTGGAGCAATTCCTCTGCATTACAATGAGTTCCTGGGGACAGAACCCACTTTCCCTTCACCAGCTCTATGGCCAGCTGTGCCCCTGGAAATGTGAGAATCCCAAGATCTGATGGTTTAACTGGAACAGAGGAAGAGGCAATGACACCTGCTGTTGCTCACTTGTTTCAAATTACCTCCCCCCACCACATTTTTTTTTAATTCAAGACAAAAAAAAGTCTGTTGTTTTTAATTAGATTTCATTACTCTCCACTGTCTTCCCCAGGGCAGTGGTGGCAACGATAATACACCTTCAGCAACAATTACAGCCTCTTCTTATACAAGAGCAACCTCAAGCAAGGAACAGCAGTTTCCCTAATGTAGCTTTGTACCAGGCCATCTCTCATTTCTGTGTTTCTCTTGTGGAATTATCCTTTCCAGTTTCCCACCTGGAATACTTGTACAGGGTACAAGTGGCATGGACAATAAGAAAGTGATGTAGTGTGTGTAGGTACTGCTACCTACTCAATTATATCATGATTACTCTTTGAAATCTTTCCTTTGAGAATGTGCTAGTCTGTCCTATTTTCTGCAGTTAAAATGAAGAATGCCACTGGATTTGGTAACTTCTCAGATCTAAGTTTCTCAAGTTTCTAAAAATATGATGTCAAGAGGAACGTCATTTGCATTTTTAAAAATAATTTTGAATTGTCAGGAGGGCATTGCCTCAGGACTGTTAGACTTAATGACAACTGAAAATACATGCTCTATTAAATGACCACAACAGGAGAAAGAATTATCCATTGATACTGTGAACACTGAAATCTAACATCCCTCATGTGTGATGAAAGTGAGCACCTCAAATTTACACATTCTTTCAGAATAACCAATCTCCATACGAAATTTAGCTAGCAGGTGTATTTTCTAATTTTTCACTTTTTCTTATTCACCCAAGACTAGCTTGAACTGGTTTCTACCTGAGATGGTCAAGATTACTTTCTGGTAAGTTGCATGATATCAGTGACGATGGGCAGAAAGACATTTTTAATTGAAAACAACAGAAGGAATTTTCAGAAAGGACTACTCAACATTATTTTGAAGGACAGAGTGACTCTGTGTTCTATTGATAATCCTAGAGCAAATAGAGATATTAAATATCACTTTTACAGCAGTGGGGCTTACCTTACAGAAGAGTAGAACTTCACTAAACTATATGTGATCTTAAATTTAGAGTAAATGTGAATTCAGATTGGTACTTGTACATCTTTGGTAAGTATACACTTATGTATGTATTTACTTATTTATTTAGAAAAAAGAGACAGTCAATCCATGAAATAAGTTGTTTTGCTGATAAATACACATAAAAGTAGTAGTTGGCCACTTTCTTTCTAGTCCCAAAAATATTTGCAAATCATGAAAAGCCTGAAATTATTTTTCTGATAATTTGTGCTAGGAGTGTGCTCGTCACTTAGCTTACTGTGATTTAAATGAACACTTAGAGCCTATGTGGAGTAAATAGGCAGAGTGAAGGATCTGAGAACAACTTCAACTTGCATGAAGTATTCAGCAATGACTTTCAGAAAGCACTGACTCATGGCTGAATTAAAAAAAAAAAATAGAGGTGTTTAGTTCCCTTCAAAATTAATGAGATCTGTGTGATGCATTTTTAGAAAGTCTTTTATAGTCTAGAAACTGATTTTTTTCCCTGATGTCACAGATGATGACTGCTATACTTAAATGTATTTTATGGTATAACTTTAATTTTAAAAAGCATGAAAGTAGCATAATGTCCCTACCAGGCAAGGCTAATTATGTGCTTGTGCCTCTGAGTAGACATATTGGAATAGGATATGTATACATTGCTGAAGAAAAGTGTCTTGTAACATAAGGTAATTGTTTAATGATAGATAACAATAGGTACTATTGCATTTCAAGAAGAATTCAAAACCATAAAGTTAGTCCTGTGAATTTTTAATGATTATAGAAAATGTCAAAGCACTTATGAGAAATCTATAACTTTAAAGTTTTTGAGATAATTACATAATTGTATTATGTTTCTTTTTATTTCTTGCACATAGCAAGCTTAATTCTGGGTGGGGTCATAAAGTGCATAGAGAGAAAGACTTACAGTAAAGCAGATGCAATTCAAATTTTAAATTATTCATGAGTTCAGGCTTCCAATGAGTTTACAGCCAAAAGAGAATACACAAAACTTGATTTCTTCTGCAAATAGAAAGAACAAAACTCTTTTAGATGCTCCAAGTTCTGATTAAAAGAAAGAAAACATCAAAAAACCCTTGTAACCTCAAAATGCTAAAGTTAGCTGCTTAAGTGTGATCCCTACCATACAACAGCTGCTACAGTCAACAGTGAGGTGTCTATGTCTCTAGCTGAACCTCTCTGGTAATGGTCAGAGGTGAATTGGATGGAAGGGCAGTTTTCTATCATTCCATGGCAATCTTACAGGCAGAACTGATTACCACATATTTAGACTCTCGTTGACCTCCAGGGCAATGAATCACTGTGGCTTCTGAAACACATGTTTCTGGAGACACTCTTCAGGTTTTGAGTGATCAGTCACAACTTTGTCCATCCATTAATCACAGCAGATTATTTTTAGCTGCACCCGCTCTGCTTTGCAAGTCTAGTTTTACATGCCACTTCCCACAAACTGTAAGTATGGGCTGCAGCAATGACATGACTAAACTGGCTTAGAAGTCTCTCAGACACGCCCTTGCCTTTCCAAACTGTGAAGTCATGACTTAGACTGCCAGCAATGAAGAAGACACCATGAATGTTTTCTTTTTGTTGTTACAGTGAAGAAGAAAAATATCCCAGTCATATATCCTCAAAAGATATCTTAACATGTTGGAAATACCTCTATTTGGAAATAGGTGGCTAACGGAAATTTTTATGTGGGCAAGTGGCATGACAAGAGAATTATTGTCTCTGTGTAGGATAACTCAGCATAAGAAAACAGACAAACCTACCTTATTTTAGATTTGACTCTGCCCTTCTCTTCTGCCAAACTTCTGAAGCTGCAGTTCCTCCGTAGGAAGGAAGAGAAAGGAAGAAATAAACAAGCAGCAAGATCAGAACAAAAAGGAGACTATGAGGGTAGTGAGACACTGAAACAGGTTGTCCAGCGAAGTTGTGGATGCCCCATCCATAGAAGTTCAAGACCAGGTTAGATGTGGCCTTGAGCAACCTGATCTAGTGGCATCACTGCCAGTGGCAGGTTGTTGGAACTAGATAATCATTGAGGTCTCTTCCAATCCAAACCATTCTATGATTCTGTGATTTTGTGATATTTATCTACTTGCTGGGCAGTGAAACTGTGAAACTCATTTTTGCAAGGATGTTGCACAGGCACTCTGAAAACAGTTAGTTAAATTAATGGAAGAAAAATGAATCAGTGACAAAACCCCATAGGTCCAAACCCTTGTTCACTAAAACACAATGGAAAATAAAATGATTCCTTGGGGACCATATCAGTGTGCACTTGCCTTGGTCATATAGTCCTCGTACAATGCGTGCTGCAGGTGATGCAGAGAGGATAAAAGCTGGAAGAAACTCTGACCCCATGTGCTCATTCTCACATTCTTATACTGTGTAGGGTCCATCAGAGATCACGAGGGAGATGTGGACTTTGGGGGTACATAGAAGAGGGACAGGACAAGAAGAAATCAGTTCACTTTGCTCTTACTCTGAGTAATTCATCCAATTCAGATGGTGAAAACCTTTCTGTACAAAAGCTTAGTTTCTGTCATTGAATCTATCCTCTCATGCTGTTTCTGGTTGTCTGTTTCAACCATGAAGTGAGCTGCAGACTAGAAACACCTTTTTATCTGTTAAGGAGGTGAAACATTGAAACAAGCTCCCTGCAGAAGATGCTAAACCTCCTGCCTTGAGAAGTTTTAAACCAGGTCAGAAAAATTTCTTCCAGGGACGAACAGAGCACATTTTGTCCTGGAACAGAGAGACTGAGTTGCCTCCCACATTTCATTGTACTTGCTTTGCCCCAGAGCCCCTGTTTCTTTTTAAGTCCACAATTTTTAAGGAGAATGCTGCCCTCTCTCTTTTTTTAAAACTCAGCCCTCATTTGCTGAGGCTGAAGAAACCAGTGTAATCCGTAGCTTATGCATTGCCCCATTTTATACATGGTTTAAAGGGGCTGCAATTCACTACTGTAAGTTATTCTTACATTTAGCACATTATTGTACTTTTATTTTATATACAAGTACATAAAGGAAAGACAATTAGACAATTAATTTAGATAGATCTGATTATAACTCCTTGGGGTCTCAGAGATGGATTTTGTTAAGGATAAGTAAAGATGCATCTGCTCTGCTGCACTCTGAGTGCTACCTGCTTTGTGAGGTCCCTCACTCCATAGGAACCCCATCAGAAGACAGGTGCAAAGTCTGTGTTCCCCTCAGCAGTCACACAAAAAAGCACTCGGTGCTTTCTCTGCCTGCTGTCAACCAGTAAGGTTTGCTACTCTTAAAGAACAGCTGCAAAAGCCAAAGCACTTTTCTAGCAAAGAGAAGTCTTTACTGGAGTTTATAGCTGAAGTCTGAAGGCAAACAGATGTTTTGTATCTGTGATTTGGGGTCTGTGAAAAGTTCTTCAAATAAAGGATCACGCTTTCTCTTACACAACCAAGAGCAAGGAGGTAAATAAATGCAGCTTTATCACCTAACAGCCCCCATAAAGGTCAAGCTGTTCTTGGCTGTTCTCTCTTATTCTGGAAGGGGAGTCTATTGCTATTTCAAGGTGTGATGATATTCTTCTTGGAAAACATCCTGTCTCCCTTGGAAACAAGTTCACATGCAGTCCTGGGCACTGCTGATGCAAATACCTTACTGTTATCAAAGTTACTCTCTCAAAATACATTTTTGCCTGTGCACAAAATCCTTTTCCCTCATTAAGTCCTTAAAGAACAGAAGCCCATGTAAGTATGTATCTCACTGCCCAAAATTAATTCAATAAATATATCTCTGACTTTTCTCCTGCAAACAAAATTTTATTCTGAATGCTTTTCATTGGTTATGTCTCTCTCATTTCTTCTCATTTCTGATATGGACAACACTTTCGGTGTATTTCATTAATATTGCTAGCATATTGTTGAAAATAAGTATCATTAAACTGCTACATAATTTATCCTATTTGTGCAAACAGTTCTTCCCTATTCCTTGTATTCATAATCCTAATACAATGTAGTATGCAGTCATATTCTTTCAAAAAGCCAAGTTTCTGTATTTGAAGGGAGATTCTCTTTCTTATGTCCATTTTTGTAACTATTTCTGCATGTTTTCTAGTTTGGATTCTCCTTTTCAGAGCAGAATGCTGGATTTTTTTCTGAAAAAAACAGATATTGGACACACCAGAGCTGGAACATTTACTTAGGCTGAAAGCCTATTACTCTCATGTTGAATATGTTGATTTTCTGTGTTGCTTGATTATCTAGTGATTCAAAAAGAGTCTTATTATTAGTTATAGAACATCAAGCAAAATTAAATTGTATTCTCTCAATCAAGCAAGAAAACTGCCAGGAAAACAGTTGATCTTGTATCCTCAGATTAAAAGAGATTGGCTTTTCACAGCTTTTAAAAATAAACAAGAACTGCTGCAATTATACAGGTGGTGGCCAAATACAGAGCAGGCTATGGCTTTCCCTTCTACTGCTAAAATCTAATCCTGATTTACAGATTGAGTGTACCAGCTAAAATATTGTCTTCATTGGAATATTCCTGGCTCAAATTTACATGGAGGACTGTGTTGAACACCTGGTGATCCAGGAGTGTATGCAGTTGTTCTGAGTTTACCAAGACCATTCTCTGGCATGGGCTGTTTCTCACTAGCAATTGCACAGATTCCCAAAGGTACTTTCTGGCAAGAAGTAGAGCAGAAAGGCTCTGAAGGAGAAAAATATTTTTTCTCTTTCTCTCGTATTTACCAAAATTCTAATAGAAGTGAGAAATACAAATTACTCTCCTGCAACTAGGTGTTGTGGACCCTAGCTACTTTTCTCCTGACTGAAGAATCACTGTTTAATCTTTTTCTGCACCTAAAATTTTCAGCATTTATACCATTTCTATAGCCTTTCCCTTTACTGTTCTCGATGGTTATGTACAATTTTTTTTTTTTGAGGATAAACAGAAGGAATTATGCCTCTGACCTGGCACTCAGCCAGAAAAAGGAAAGCCCAAAACTAATTCTGTACTATATCTGCTGATTATTTAATAGAAAATATGCCACTGGAGTGATCGCATACTCAGTTTTGCCTGGGTCAGAGTTTCATCTGCATACTACAGATACAAGAACCAGGAAAGAGATGGCTGGTAAACAAATATAGTAGATGAAATTTTTACTTGATCTAAGAAATATTTACAATGAAAAATTTAGATTTGCATAATAAGAAAAAACCTTTACTTTTATTTGGGAATCTTGTTGAGATCCATATTTACAAAAAAACTAAGGGTGCCTGGTTTTGGCAGCTATTTCTTCCTTGACACTACCATGAATTAGTAACTTGCAGAGTGTTCTCATTGTCACAAATATTCCACATGAAACTTTACAGAACAAAATTGGTATTATATCACTTTTATGGTGTGATCCATTAAGATTCTAGAAGTAAACTGAAAGAAAGCTTGTACAAGTCAGTTCTTTTGATTGTGGTTAAAGATCATCAGTATAGTTGAAAAAGGCATAATGCAAATCCCTAAAACATTATTAGTAGCAATGGTTTTAATTTTAGAAATTATACAACTGAGTCAAAAGAATGATAAGAGAATTGATACAAAAAAGCTTTATTTCACTAACTTTTAAACTGTATGGATTGCTGTATGACATTTTCTCTTTGACAGATTATTTTTTAAGATATTAATAAAGCCAACTTGTACTTACTATAAAACGTCACACTCCAGGAAGAGCAATAGGCAAGTCCCCAAATGACAATAACCTCCTAGCAGATACCTGAGTGTAAATAGCATGGAATTAGCAACAACAGGCTCTCTTTTAGAGGCAACATTTGAATTGGTCTATATGCAACCAGTTTTTGAGAGAAATGGTGTATAACAGATGTAGAGCATTGCCCAGGACACTGGAGGCTGCTGTGAAAATGGAGGAAAAATATGTATATTCTAGGAAACCAATAGCTGTACAAAGAACATAAGGTCTGTTACCTATTTTGGAGAATGACAGGTTCTAAGTATAAAGGCCAAAGGGTTACATCCACAATAATGAAATAGCTAAACATAGAGAAACATTTCACATTATGTTAAAAAAAAATAATTAGACTCTCTTGATGAAAACCGTATGCAACAGCATAATGTGGGACTTCGTGCATGGATTGTGGCACCAGTAAAGGGAAATAATGACAGTGCTGTGATGTGGTGGAAAAGATCAGCTCAGAAGGGCCAGAAGCATGGAGTGAGGACATGGTAACTTCGAGGGAAGGAGGCTGATGGGAGGAGGAAGGAAGTCATGAGTTTGGTGGGAAGGCAAAGACTGGCCACAAAGTCAGGGCAGAGCAGTACCACTGAAGCTTGGCTTCTGGCCATGCAAGATTCAGCATCCCTGGATGATGACAGTCAGTGGGTCATGGGTGACAATGTGTCACACTAGTGACAGGATCCCTTAGTCGTCAGTGCTTGGACCCAGCAGGGACATTTGGTCCCCTCAATGTGCTGAGGAAAGCAAAGCCCAGATAAATTTTTTTTAGGTAGCTTTATTAAAGAAATGAGTCAGAGCAAAGTGCCAGTTTACCTCATGGTTTATTTGTCTTGTTTTCTTTTGTAGGAAAAAACATGTGTTCATGTTTTCTTTTTGTAAATTAAACTTTAGGTGTTTGAATTTTTCTTTGCATTTTAATCTGATGGGATTTCACATCACTGTTTGCTACAGGACCTGGTTGTTTAGTGAATTTTGGGGAAGAAATGGAGCTGAAGATGACTGATATTCATATCAGGAGTGGAATATTGCTTAGCTTAATTTTTAATGTACTGATTACTGATCAGTGGGGACCAGCTGCTAG